TTTAATTTTGGTACTAAAAAGTTGCTTCAGGAATCAGTTGGAAAGCCATTCCAATCGAAGCCTAAGATTTAATTTTTATACGAAAAAATTATTTTAAGAAGCAATAAAAAATCTATCTCAAATAAAATCTAATTCTAATAAATAAAGTTCAATTCTAATAATTTTTTAACAAAACTCTTTTTTAATGTTTCTTAATATAGGCCCAATTTAATAATCGAGTCATCAAAAGATTGAAAGATTGATGCTCTACGTGAACAAATTATTTGAGAATATTTCTAATCTTATCTTCCACTCGAAATAATTATTGGCTGAGAAGTAGTAATAGAAATAGTTTAACAATCGATTAAACCGGCGGTAAATTTTGACTAAAGTTAGGAAAATAATGGTGTTACAGCTGAGGCGAGTGGGCCCACGGTGACGTACGAAGCGGACACGTGGGAAACATATACAAAGCATTCCGCGATAAAAAGAACCCGATCTGCTGCGCCGAAGGTGGGCCAATCCGTGCTTAAGCTTCACCGAAGCTGCGCCTCGAAGGCTACGTCGCATCACCGTAGCTTTTAATCGTTTCATCCTTCTAATAATTAATAGGGGTGGAACTATTAGAAATAGCTCTTTTCCTTCTAATTATATATTTATAATTTATATTCATATATATCAAATAACTTTATTAAATATGAGATTAATTTATTTTTTCTTCTCTCTCTCTTAAAATTTTTAAGATTATTTAGGATCATTTTTTTATTCTATATTATTTTATTTTTCTTATGAAATAAAAAATGTAAATGATAGTCATTAGTGTTAATAGTGATGACCAATATTAATAGTTATTTTTTAAATATTAAAATGTTTTTTTGAATATTTTAAAAAATAATTTGATATGCATTTAAAATAATAAAAAGTAAAAAAAATGCACAATTTAAAATTTGTAAACACAAATTAAACGATTTGAGAGAATGGAGCATGAGTCTCTTATTCTTTCTATATATTTTTTGTATTTTTTTTAAAAAAAATTTAGCAAATTAGACTCAAATTCATACATATCTTATACGAATTCAAAATGTCTTAATTAATAGCTAAAGTGAGAGATCAAAATGAGTTGAATAACTCACCCTAATGCAAATAACATATAAGGGCATTTCCAACAGAAAAACTTATATCGCTTTTTCTTCCCCGCTCTTTGTTAAGAATAACGGTTTCCATCCTGCGCTCTGGCCTCCTGCCCCGCGTCGCTTGGTTCTCTCCGGATGAATAATGATCTTTCTCTTCAGCCTACTGCTGGAGTAATTCTGGTTTTAGGAGAGTTTTTCTATCCCCTATCTTTTATTTCATTATTTTTTTTGCCTCCATTTTCGTTCCATTCGGCCCGGGTGGCCGGCTTGGCGACGAAACGGTTCTTGGATCATGATTTTTTGGATGGATCCAGGAAATCGCGGTCTTTTTTCGACGCTTTGTCTGGTAATGTGTTGGATGTTTGTTTCCTGTTGATCAAATCAAATTCATTTTGTGGTTTGCCTACTATGTGGATCTCTGAGGAGAAGATTGATTCTTTAGCCACACCTTTCCAGTTTGCTTTGATTGGCTTTTTCCCCTCCTGTCGATCTAGTTTAGATTCCATCCGTTGTTTTTTCTTCAATCTTAAATTATCGACTTAATTTTTTGTTACCTTACTGGATTCTTCTCATATGTTGATTAAATTTTCAAATGACATGGATTATAGTAGGATTTTTTTGCCATCGTTCTTACCTGATTTTTAATTGCTACATCTCACAAAATGGTCTCCTGCCCTTAATATCGGTATGAAATCTCTGATTATTCCTATTTGAATTTCCTTCTCCAACTTGCAGCCCCATCTTTTCGCTCCTCGTATCCTTCATGCTTTGGGTTCTTTATTTGGCTGTCAGCTTAAAGTCAAAAACACCACCTTTGTTGGCTCGCGTCCCTCCTTGGTGCGTGTTCTAGTTGAAATGTATATCACGAAAAACTATTCTAATAAAGTTTGGCTTGGTCAAAATAAATTATGTTACGTCCAGCATGTGCAAATGGAGGTTTTTTCCCCCTTTTGAGATATGTGTAAAACTATATGTCATATTTGGTGTGAGTGTCTGTGATGCCCCAAGATCAAACTTGGAAAGAATGTCAATCAATTACTCAAACAATTTACCAGAGTTATCTCCCATTTATGTTTATTCTACGAAGCTTAGTATCCCTGCTAGGAATGAAACTGTTAATATGGAGAATGTTGGTAGTGGTGTTATTGTAGATTTAGTTACCCCTAATCCTTTAGGTCAGTCCTTGTCTTTGGAGGTAGTGAGAGTGAGGGTGCTGGTCCGGTTGACTTGCCCATACGTCTTGATTCTCCTGTTACTCCTGTAGCTGTTTTGCTTGTTCCCCTACCTTCTATGGGAGGGCATCCTGTTGTTTTGGTGGATTTGGTTGTTGTGTTGGATTCCCCAACCCAAATTGTTAATGTCCTTGATGTGGGTGTGCCAATTGTCAGGCCGGTTCGATCTTCTCCTGATCTCTCCCCAATAGGCCATACTTTTGCTGCTGCATTTTGTTATAGTATTTCTCCAATTGTTAATGGGGAATTGGTGGTTTATGGTGTCGTGGATGGTGGTGTTTCTCCTAATGTGGCTCCTACCCTTGTGGCAGTGATTGATATTAATTATTGTGTTAATCTTAGTGATAGTCCTATTTGTGCTAATGGTGAGAGTTGTCTGTTGATAATTATGCCTCTTTAGTTGACAGCGATGATGAAGCTTTGGCTTTTGTTGGGGAAGAAGGTGTTGAATTGCTTCTAGTGGATGTGCTTATTTCTATCATTTCAAATGCTAATTTGTTCACCCATATTGCTAGAGATTCTGTTTAGTGTCAATGTGATTGGTTGCATGATGATATGTCGGTTGCTAGTGGGGAGGATTTTATTGATAGCAACCTGGAAACATGCTCGCACGATAATTTTTTTAGGCAACATAAACGGAAATCCAAGAAGAAATGACTTCCTTCTTTTGGAAAGTTTTTTAATGTGTTGTTTGGTTTTATTCTGCTCTTCGTTGCTTTCGTTGAAATATTGGGTTGGAATCGGAATGGAAGATGATGAAGCAATTTTGTTGCATGCACCTTGGATAGCCAGAGTTGGTTGGCTACCTTGGTGGCTCGTTTTGGTGTTTTTGGCTGCTTCTCGGTTTGGATTAGTTTGTCCTCCATAGATGATCTCTCCCTGACAACTGAGGTATCAGTCTGAGACTGACATTTTTCGATTTTGTCAAGCCAACTCTCAGTTTGTTTTGCTTATGCTGTTTTTTATTTTTCTTTGATTTTAATTCTATTGATATGGCTCTGTTGTGGCATTGTGCTGTATCAATTTCATTTAATAAATTTTTTAGTTTGGTTTAAAAAAAATTCCTAACAGAAAAATTTGTTTTTCAATTCAAAATGTAATAATAATTATATCAAATATCAATTCATCTCCAATCAAACTTTATTTCTAAAATAAGAAAAATAATATTTTATATATTATTTATCATCTAATTTAAATAAATAAATTATATAAAAAATTAAACATATTAAAACTAGAGAGTATTAATATAAAGTAAACTTGTTATATCATAAAAAAATTATCTTGATCGTACACAAATCTTGATATATTTCACACCTTTGTCGCCTGTTGATTACGGTCCTTCCGACATCCGTCGCCAGTCAATGTTTCTTTGGATTTCTTCCGCCAGACTATGGTCTTTCCGACCTCCGCGACCAATTAACTATGGTCCGTCCAACCTTCGTCGCAAGATAACGGTCCTCCCAACCTCCGTCAGCAGTTGGCTATGATCATTTTGACTCAAATATAGTCTTTCATACCTCTGTCGCCCGCCAACTACGGTACTTTCGATCAAACGGACATATCAATGCCGATTCTTCTAATGTCCATTTTGTAATGCATTTAATATGATGTATATTTGATACATCAAGCTAAGGTCTTCCCTTCAATGAAGAGCCTTATTTGTAATCAACTGCAAATACTAGTGGATTCATTTAAAATGGGCTAGACCTCATAATTTTTTCCATTTTTCAGAATTTTTCACATAAAAATCTTAGCGTTTCTTATAAATTATGCACCTATCTTTTTATCTAATTGTGTGCTGAAACTTTATACAAAATTAAAACATTAAACTTTATATTTCTCTTCAGCTGTGTGCTGAAACTTTATACAAAATTAAAACATTAAACTTTATATTGTGTCGCACTATTTACAACAGCAAAAATACGATTACGAATTTCATCCGAGTTGACAGCTCGCGAAAGTGCAAACGGCCGTATTCAGTTGCTTTGGAAATGCCCTAAAGACCCTAAGCTGTAAATAAGTACGTCACAAGAATTTCTTCATCAGGAAGACGGACGGCTGAGATTATTTTCTTTACTGCCAGCTAGGCTCGCTTTCTCCGGACGTACAGCTTCGGATAAAAGATGTAGTCCGGAAGTCGCCACGCCACGTCAGCTGATGATCGGACGGCTTGGAATCCGTCACGGGTGGCATCACGAGATCGGAGCCGTTGAAAGCATTTCGGAGCTTTCGCTGTGGACCCGAGGTTAGCAGGAGCGGGTGAGAGAAGAAAAAAAAATAAAGGAAAGGAGCCAGCAAGGTGCGCTGAAATTGGAGAGAAAACTAATAAAGTTTAATGGCTATAGCCCGCGCCGGTAGAGGCCATGCATTAGTTCGATCGTGGCGCAGGGCACGTGTAGGTTTTCGTCCGAAGATGGGAGAAAGTTTGCGATATTTTAAGACACGTGGCGGTCGTGTTTTTCACGGTCAGAGATTGATAACCCGGAATTAACGGACGGCCAGATGTTTTGCCACGCTGGCACCGCGGAGTAAATGCCGTTTGATTTCAAGGAGATCAGATGAACAGTATCGAAAGTAGGGTGTCGAGAGTAGATCTAGGCCGTCGATTTTCTACACGAGTGGGGGTTTGGCGAGTGAAAAAGGATGGACGGGGCTAAATATGAAGCGTAGTGCGGAGAGGAAAGCGGAGGAAAGCGGAGGCGAAAGCGGAGAGAATCAGAGAGAGAGAGAGAGGAGCGGAGTGGTATGACGGTCAGATCCAAGTGAGAAAATTCTCAGATTTCCCATTGTTCAGCCGGTGTTTCCACTCTTCTAGGCGATTGCTTGCCTGTTAAGGTTCAGAGTTGGGGTTTTTCCGGTCAAATTCCTTCTGAACTCCGGCGAGCCGGCGATTGAGTGCTAGGGCATTTGTTTTGGGTAGGAGCCGCGGAGGAGAGATAGATATCGTACTCTTCAGTTTGTTTTGATGAGCGGTATGTTTGAGTGATGGATAGGATTCGTGAGGCTAGAAGAGGAACCATGACAGCGGTAAATGGGGGTTTGTCAAAGAGACGGCAAAGAAGCAGTAATCTCCGCGATTCGCCTGGTTCGATTGATCGGAACAATCATCTAGTTATTTATTATTTTATTTTTTCGCTTTGATCTGTTTCTGATTTTCTTTTGCCTTGCCTACTTTGGCTTCCTCTTGTCTGATTCACAGAGGAGGATGGAGCGATGGAGATGCAGGAGACCTCACGGCTTCGGGATCGAGGGAGTAAAAAAGATAGAGATCGTGACAGATCTAGTCGGAGCAAGAGAAGGAGAGGCGATAGGTTGCTGCATGGGAGCCACAGAGAGGATGGAGATGAAAGCTCTGAGGAGAGCGTCGATGAGGAGGAAGATGACGACGAAGATGACTCATCGGTGTCCATGCGACTGCCACATCCCCCTGTTCCAAATCCTCCTAGTCAATCGGCTTCGTTGATGCAAAGCCACCATATCCGGAAAGGCTATGCGGCTAAGCCGGTGAAGCCGCCGGGGACCGGTACTTGGAAAGTCGTCGAGGAGATGATAGGAGCTCCAATACCCCGGAAAGCCCGGTCATGTATGATTTTTTTTTTTTGGGAAATTGTCATGTATGATTTTGTAGTATGCCTTGGATTGCGGAAATCAACCGCCTGTTTTTTGTTTTTTGAGGTCTTTCTTCCACGACTCCAGTTTCTCCTCCATTTTTTTTTTTTTTTTTTTTTTTTGTGAAAATTTTTTCTTGGTTGATGCAGCATCTGTCAAAAGGTCACAAGAATGTTGGGTTTCATGTGGGGGCGGTGGCGCTTGCGGCGGAGCAGTTGGAGGAGAGCAGCCTCATTGGCAGACATCAACTTCGCCGGCCAGACCAGGTCTTTCTTCCACGACTCCAGTTTCTCCTCCATCCTCAAACGCTTCAATTCGTAAGAAGATGGTTTGTATTCCATCACCTATTTTCCAGTTTTCGGGTTAGTCACTTTCGGTTGCCTTCCAGCTGGTAACCAGGTTTTTTTCTACCTTTCTGATGTAGAAGGCGATCAGCGGAACAAAACATCGACCCCCTAAAATTTCGAAGTCTTCTTCCATTCAAGAGATTGAGATTGAGGTTGCTGAGGTTTTATTTGGAATGACGAGGCAAGTTCCCCTAAAGAAGGAAAATCACAAGAACGACTCAAAGGAATCTAACGAAGCTAAACCTTGGGTCTCTTCGCCGATCCCAATCTCATCTCCATCTCCGACTTCTCAGTCACCCACTGTAGCGATTTCTAATCCGAGCTTTAACCGGAATACGTTGACTGCAGCAGGTTAGTGTCGTTTATCTATGTTGCGAAGGTATGGTGATAATTTCTTCTGACATCTTCCTCCCCCCTCCCCTTCGCTTCTATTTCTCCGCAGCACCCAAAAGGAAGCGGCCACGAATTAGGTTTGAGGTGGAGAGCCCCACAAGCACGCCAAGTTCTGCTGCCCTTCCTGCTACGCCGAATTCTTCTGTGGCGAAGTTGGACAAGGAAGCACTTCAGCAATCGCCGGCAGGGACAAAAACAGATCCTACTTCTCCTAAATCAGAGAAAAACATAGCAGCCCCTACTGTTGAAAATGGTGTTGTTTTATGCGATCCGGATGCTTCTAATGTTTGCTCTATTACATCTACTCTTGCTAATTCACAGCAAGATTCGTTCAAACCGGAGGGTAACGCAGCTCCGGATCCAAAAGATACAGAGAGCCAGCCGGAGAAGAAAGCCAAAGAGGAAGCAGTCTCTCCCCCAAAAGAGTCCCCTTCTTCAAATTTGGATGTCAATATTGAAGACACCCCCGCGAACAAAGCGTGAGCTTATTTTTTATTTGTTAATAAATGTCCAGTTGGAGGTTGTTTGGCTGATGGCCGCTTTCTTTCTTTTGATTTTTATCTACAGTGCTTTGGTTTCTGATAACCCGCGGGAGGAGAAGTTTAACCTCGATATGATGGTGAGAATCCTTGAGTTTGACTGTTGAGATTATTAAATTCACTTTTAGTGGAATGATGTCAGTAAATATGGCGAAATCGCTATTTTCGCAGTCTCATCCCCCTGTGAAATCATCCTTTTTGGTGCAGGAAAGCACCTTGTATTGCGTTGCCGAGCACAAGTCTGCGGAGATGGGGATGGGGATGGGGATGGGGATGGAGATGGAGAGGGTAATTAGTGATTTTTCCGTGAATACAGGAGTATAAATTATTATTTTTTGCACTGTTTTCGTGCTTATTCTTTTTTGACTTATCAGGAACAAAAACTGGAGGTTTTAAAAGGACAAAAGGAGATGGAGAAAAAGTCGAGGACGAAGCCCGAAGAAATTGTTCAGGATTGCCGAAATACTGACGATTCAAAGAAGCAGGCCGGCACGGAGAGGAATCTTGATCTGCAACTCGATCTGGAGAAGCAAGATAAAGATTTCGCCGGCACTGGAGCCGGCGCCGGTAAACACCATGCCCAGAAGCATCAACCAAGAGGTGCAAGAGCTGAGCCTAGGACAGAGAAAGCTGGTACAAGTTTTTCATTAAACGTTTATATATTTATATGTATTTATTTGGATTTTTTTTGGGAAAATTAAGGGCAGAGACCGATATATTAACTAAAACAAAATTACATGTTTTTGGTTTTTTTGGTTTGGAGCTTCTTGTTTTTTAGAAGTTAGAAGATTTATCTTTTATTTGGAATTTCTCAATATCTCGTCTTTAATGCAAGGTCCAGCGGAATCGTTGCCCTTGCCAATACAAATTCCAGGATGGCCCGGTGGTTTTCCTCCTTTTGGGTACGGTCTGCATGGTCTATCCTTATTAGTTCTCTTTTGCCTAAAGTTTCCATTTCTGCAGAAGTCAATTTTTTTTATAAAACTGCTATTTTGAGATATTTGACTGCTCGCTCCGAGGTTAATTTTTAATGCCTATTAATGGCTGTGTTTGTAAATCGTACAACTAAAGCAGCTATGCTTATTGCGGTTTGTGTTATCGGTTGATAAAATTTCCATTTTTAACTTTTTATTTTAAGGTACATGGCCCAAGTTCCTCTACCGCCTTTTGGTCCTGTCGATGCAAGCACCAGTTCTTCCAAAGCAGTTCAGGTTTTTCTCTTTTACCTTCTTCCCTCCCATTGGGCTGGTATAGTATTGAACTAATTGATAATTGGTTGGGTTATTATATTTTTTCTAGGGCTTGTTTCCCTCACAACTTCGGCCAAAGCGTTGTGCAACTCACTGCTATATTGCACAGAACATACATTACCATCAGCAGATGACAAGATTACATCCATATTGGTCTTCAGCGGTTGGTGCGGCACCTTTCTATGCCTCAAAGCAATACAATCTCAGTACTGCTTCACTCTCAGATTCAGCTATTCTCAGTAATCCGATGCAGCAGGGGAACTTTCCTGGTCAGAGCCCGGGATCCGTGCAAGAGAAGGAAGGTCCAATTTTTTCGGCAAATTCTGGTTTATCCGCTAAGGAAAAGAATAATACAGCCAATCCATCCGCCGATTCTTCACAGAAGAAACAACCCATACTACAGCAGTCATCTCAACCTGGATCAGCTGGAAACATGTTGGTAAGATTTTAGTCAATATTACTGATTTCTTTTTTGAATGCATCCCCCTTTTGTTAAAAAAAAATGTTAAGACTCTGGATTTCTAATAGAAATCTGATCCATTGTAGGCTCCTGCGTTTATTTTCCCTCTCAATCAACAACAAGCTGCCACAGTTGGGGTTTGTGCGGCCAACCGATCTGCAGCGGGAAAATTGACAGCAGGTTCTGGTAATGCTTTTCAATCCTCAAGTGGTACAGGCTCTGCAACATTGGGAACTCCTGGAGCTTATGGACCTGGTACTAGCATGAGCTTCAGTTACCCTGGACTGCCAGCAAATGAAGCCCAGTATCTAGCCTTTCTGCAGAACAATGCCTACCCATTTCCTATTCCAGCTCATGTTGCTGGAGCTCCACCATACAGGGGGGCAACTCCTGCTCAAGCAATGCCATTCTTTAATGTATCATTTTACCCTCCCCAGATGCTGCATCATTCACAGCTCCGGCCGAAGCAGCAGCAGCCACCTACGATGCAGCCACCACCATCATTGCAGCTGCCTCCCTGTTCTCAGCAAGGGCATCAAAATCCAAGCACATCCAGTGGTTCATCTTCATCCCCAAAGAATACTCAGCAATCCCAGAGAATTCCTGCAGTTTCGTCTACTACAATTGCCTCTGGTAATTCGTTTGGCTTCCCTCATTCAAAGCATCAGCTCGGGCTTCATCAGGCTGGGCAGTTGGAATCTGAAGTTATGGTAGAGGATACCCCGTCCACGGATGATGGCAGGGCCTCACTGGCTCAGAAGGCCATTTCCTCTCAGAAGTATGCCATGCCTGCCCATACCCCGAATTTTACCTTGATATCTCCTGCAATGGCGTCATTGACATCAATGACAAGTGGAGGCAGCAATCATAGTGAAAGACAGCAATCGCAAATCCATAACAAGACCATGAAAATGGATCTGACGCAATCTCAAGCCTTAGCAATGCCATATGCCTCATTTGGTGGGGCTGCTGCTTCGTCCAGTGGAGCAACTCTGCAAGGCCTTGACTTTTCATCCATGGCACAGAATCATGCTCTTTTCCACAGTCTCCCAGAAGCAGCTCGACATAGTTTCCAGATCTCAGCAGCTGCCGCAGCCACAGCTCACCAAATCTCAGCAGCTGCTGCAGCCACAGCTCATGCTGCACAGCAGCAGCAGCAGAAGAAGCCTGAAGTTGGAAAAACTGCTCCTGATTTGGGCACTGCCACTACAGTTGGTGAGGAAGGGAAGCTTTCTTCTGTGAGCCATGTTTTGGGTAGTGCACATCAACATTCTATCACCTTATCTAGGGCAGACGCAGAACCTCCAATTTCTTCAATTCTTAGCAACAGTGTGATTGACAGTTCGTCCCTGAACTTGAACCTTATTCAGCCACTTTCCAGTGGTGCTTCTCGTATCTCGAGCAGGCCAGGTAGTACTGCAACAGCCTCCAACTCTTCTACTCCCGGTTTGCATTCCCCAAATTCTCACAATCTGCAGCAGCAGCAGCATTTGCAGCAGGTTCTCCAGCTTCAGAGGCAGCATCTACAATTTCAGCAGCATCAGCAGCTTCAACAACAGAGGGCAAAACCTGCCTCTCATAACAATGCTGGCATTTACACTGACCGTCTCTCAGGAAGCTCCAATGCATCTAAATTCCCTCAAGCTCTTGCTGGCTTTCCTCCAGCTCTCATGCAAAGCAGCTCTTCTTCTCACTCCCCTCAGTGGAAAGCTTCACCTAGAACAGCAAGTACTTCCTCTTCTGCTGCGCTATCTCCCTCAGCATCATCTGTGAAGAATCAAATCTCCTTGCAGCAGCATGTGCGGAGCCAGCTCCAGCCTTCCCATCAAACTCACATCTCCTTTGGAGTGAGCCCTGCTAAGGTTGCAGGGCAAACTGGAAATGCGGTATCATTAACATCTGCAGCTACCATAACAGTTGGTTCTACCCATGCCTTAGTTTCTAAGAACTCAGGCAGCACTCCTCTCTCTTCCTCAGTTGCAAAATCTGGACCACCTACTGTTTTACCTTCATTGCCTCTCCAAAAGCAACAATCAGGCAAGAATTCCACATCTTCGAGCTCCACCACCACTCCATTGGCTACCACCAATCGAAACATGTCTTCCATCCTTGGTAATCCTCACAAAAACTCTACCTCCAACTCAAGCACGAAGCCACAGCCCTCTTCCCATCACCAACCACCAAAGCAGCATTTACCTCAAGCAGCTCAGTTCTTCTTCTCCAACCCGTACATTCAAAACCAAACTAACCCATCTGATGCTTCTGTAACATACTTTCAACAGCACCAACAACGCCGACCTTCTGACCAATACCCATCTCAGCAAAGAGAAAAGTCTTCATCTGCAACAACACCAGGGGGCGGATCTGCTCCACCAGACCCATCCAAGCCTGCAGAATCATCCCCTGCCTCCAATTCCAAGGGAGGATTGCTACCTTCCACCCTCCAACAAAACTCTCACTTTACGGCCGCCGCCGCGGTTTCATTACCTGGGGCCGGGCCCATGCATCCTCTGATGCCCGCCGCTGCCGCAGCATTACCATACATGCACAGCATGCAATCCGTCTCTTTGAAGCCAGCCCCGGCCACCGAACAGAAACCTGCTGCTGGTAAGCCAGTCTCTTTATCTTTAGTTGTTTTAGAATTAAGCCATTGTGGCAGGGCATCTCATTTATATCAAGAACACCACTCTTGCACAGGAAATAATGACAATTTGCATGCGTGCTGGCAGCCTGAGAAGCGATGAATGAAGCCATCAAATGGGAATGATGCTTCGCCGAGAGCCATCATCCATTGTTTCGCCAACTCGCGCGTTGTGGACCCAAGCGCCGGCCCAAGCTAAGGCTCTGTTTGCCTTGCTCTTCCTTCCATGGAAGTCCGCAGCGCCACCACCGTCACCAGGCACAGAGCTTCAAATCCAGCAACTGAGCAGACGAGTATCACTCGCCCCACCACTCTGTCGTTGTGGAAGCACGGCAGGAGGGAGGAATAGGTGTGGAGAGCATGCTGGTCGGCCACATTGACGAAAGTTTGTGCGTGTGGCCCTTCCACGAGATCACGTTAGTTCTTCTTTATTATTAATTGATTACTTTTCTTTACGTATGCATTTGTAAGGTGGAAATTATTTTGCAATAACTTTTTTTTTCCCTCTTCGTTTCCACTTTTGCTCCGCTAAGTTAACTTTGTGGGGAGCTTCGGATGCTGAATCACTATTCGTTATTTTTATCTATGTTGTTTAAAACTTTTGATTCGGAGGCTACAAATTGTGGTTAAAAGGGTGGCAGATATTGTTGAAATAAAGCTCATTTTTTCCCTTCAAAATTCTGTGGAGGGAGCTTTATCATTGCAACGCATCAATTCATGTAAATTGATTAAAATTTTACATAGATGTATGGTGATGTTCGTGTAACAAAATGGAAGAAGATGAACTTGCAAGGTTAGGTAAACAAGTTTGAGGCTATTTTAGACTTGTTCAAGGGTTATGACACTACAAGAGGTGAAATTATTCTGTGCGGGTACTGTAGGGGTTCAAAGGTGAATCACAGCGAACCACGTCACCCAGGTGTTGTATACCAAGTAATGTGGCATGCTCTGATTCGCCTTTGAATGATACGGTGTTCGCACATAATAATTTCTCATACAAGAAAGGGTTGCATTGAGTGTGTGAGGGCACTACCTACTTATGTTCTCAAATCCCTTATAATCATACCCTAAACCCATCAAAACCTTTGGATGCACTGACATTTGTTATTGCAAACCAAATGCTTACACTTCCAGAGCCCCTGGAGAAACTCTTATATACATCATTTGTTGTAAGCTATTTATATTTTACTAAAATATTATTGAAGTTTGATACAATTTTTGGGATCCATGTTCTATCACAATTATTATTATTTTGTCCTAGTTTTTTTTTTTTTTTGTATATTCGTGCCAGACCAGCATGCTTTTTTTGTCTATGCACTTCTCATAGGGCCCTCCTATGGCTACCCTGCTTCGAGAGAGATTATTACATGTGGTCATCGGACAGTCGAGAGATAAATTAGGATGCGCCACCACGCATCCCAGTATACAGTTATACACAACATTGGTACACATCAAAAAGTGACGAGATGCGTCTTGATTTGCCTATGAACGGCATCCAGTGATTACACGTAATATATATATATATATATTTTAAGAAAAATAGATTTGAGGGTGGGCAAGGTTCACCTTGAACTCTTTTTTATTCCACATAGCCACTTTGTTGAGTGAATAGTTCTCTCTAGGTTAGCCCAAGCATCAACTGCCATTAAAAGATATGATGTAAATAATAAATTTAAATAATAAAAAAAACTGAATATGACTATTGATGCTTACGTAAA